GAAGGCACATTATGTTATCAGATTAAAAGATAAATGAAACTGATCATTGTTATCATTTCTATTTTATTTTGAAGACATTTCAAAACAATGTGGATATAAAATAAATATCTTCTCTATCCATGCAATAATGTGTACACACCATAATCATACTTAATAAAACAAAATACCAGAGGCTAAAATACAAAAGAATTGAGAATTTAGAATTTATTCATGAATTACTTTCTCAGATGAAGTAAAAACTAGCTTTTGCACCAAGCTGAAGAGTATTATAACTTTGCTACTTTACAACCCAAAGTTGGAATTATTATCTTCCTTATTTGTTGAAATTTGTGTAAGCTTTACAAACAGAAAAAAATATATCTCTAGAGAAAAAATTTTAAAGACAATTTTTCTAATAACAAAATGATATTAATAAATGGAGTCATTTTATGATTGTCTTAGTTTTTTTCTTCTTTTTTTGCTTCACTTGCTAGAAACTCAAAATCCTTTATCATATAAGCAAAACACAACAAAACAATATTAGTAGTAATATCAAAACTTACTAAAAACAATAAAATATTTTGGGATTTTACTTGATTTAAATCTGATAGAAGAAGAAACCTATGGACTGCTCAATCTGCATAGCTATAAAACTTTTAATTTAAAGAGGTTTATTAGGGGGAGAGTTCTTATAGTTTTCTAAATTTGATTTGATTTTTTTTATTATTGTTTTTCCAACTCTTTTCCTTAATCCAAAGATTTCTATACTAGGGTTATCCCAAACACTGTCCTTGGACAAACTCTTCTCATCCTATTTAGCAACCCAACCCACTCCCTCATCATGTTTTTGTTGTTGTTGTTGTTTCAAGAATGAGAAATAAAAAAAAAAAATCCACAAAACCTTTTTCTCAAGTAGTCAAAAATCACTTTGTTAGCTCAAGGTACCTTTAATAATTTCCAGTTGTCCTTTATCTTTTAAGATCTGTGATATTAGCAAGAAGCAATGTTATAAGGCATTTCTCCAACTGCCATCTTCCATACTTCATTAGGGCTATGTATACATTCCTTCCTCCATCTCTCTACTTTACCTTTTCTTCCCCTCACTCAGTTCCAATTTACCATTTTTCTAACACTGTCAAACATTTAAGTAAATTCATGTTTCATATTTAAATAAATATAGATTAAGCATTTGAAAGATTAAGCGTTTGAAAGCATTGAATAGATTCATCAATGTGAATATTAAGAAGTTATGCATTACAGCAGGAACATTTGAAAATGCATCTATTCCAGCACTTGAAAGAGGGAAAGCCATCAGAGAATGGGTCAAACACAGGTTATATAGCTGTCAATAAAACATAGACATTCAGTCCTTACCTGCTTAACTGCATGATGGCAAACGAATCTAAAGAGCAGGCAAAAGGAAAAAAGTCCCCCAAATCTGATCATCAGTCTTGGACGCTGCTGTGACAGTTTTATATTCTGGTTCCTTCCTCTTTGGTTACATACATGTGACCGGCTAGAATGCGTGCACGGGTCAATAGGGTTAATTTGTAACCATAGACAACTCCTCCTATTTTCAAATAGCTGGTTGGCTTTGCACACAGCTGGAAGTATGCATTTTGTCTTCTGAACTAAAAGGCTGGTTTCCCGGCCAGAGACTAAAGAGGTCCTTGCTCCAAAGGACGCATAACGTTCTCCACCTGGCGCAGAGTAAAAGACTATGGTTCAACTCTTGGGGACTAGGGGAACAGCCATCCGAGACAAACTCTGCCACTGTTTGGCGAAGGACCATTCAGTCACCCGCGTCCAGGGGCGCCACCCCTTTTTGGGAGCAGAGGCGGGGCACCCAGGTCCTCCTACCTCCCACCCCAGCCCGGAAGACGGGGCGGGGGGTGGGGCGCGGATGAAAGCCCAACTTTAAAGGGTTATCATAGAAGCTACTCAGCTCCCAGGCTCGACTCTGCTTTTAACTTCAGCCTCATTATTTCAACCTCTAGCTCCAAGTTGAAATCCAACTCTGCCTCACCCCACCGCCCTCCGGATTCGTGGGAGTCAGTAAAGGAAGGAGAGGAGTTGGGGTCAGCAACACTTTAACACCGACCCGGAGAAGTCATTCAGCAATTCTCAGCCCTGCTGAGCACTCTCAGGAAAACGGCGGCTAAGGCTTTACAAAGCAGGCTCACTAAAGAACCGTCATGTGCTAAGACACAGCTCATTAAAAATAATAAACAGGAACACACAGAACGGCGTTAATAAGCGATCCCGGGAATCTTGCGTCTGTCCTCTCACACAGAAGAGCCAAGGAAGGACGACGAGGATCCTTCCGGAAGGATGCAAAGTCCCCGCCAGCCCCTCCGTCCCTCTCTGGGCTGCAACGCCCACACCAAGCCCAGCTCCTCGGGGACCGAGTGCGGAGCTGCGTCGGGGGTCGCGGCCGGGGACCGGCCCCCAGCCGGGCACCGCGATCACCGCGCACTGAGCCCCCCGAGTAGCCCGGAGCTGCGGAGAAATCTCCGGGCACAGTCGCCTGTTGATAGCCCTCTGCTTAAAGCCCCCTGGGCTGAGGGAGTCTCTCGGACGTACCTTCCCCTTGGCCAAGCGCAAGCTTTAGGTTAGGATACAGGGAAACACACTTACCCGATTCCGGATGTTTGTGCCTTGCTGGAGCAGACGGGGTTCAAGGGAAAGAAAGACCTGACTGCAAGCAAAGTTGCTTCCCCCCTCCCTCCACTCCCGCTCCACAGCAGCAGTCCTCCAAAGAGGATGCTGGAACTGGAGAATTGCACTAAGCCCTCGCTTCTTCTGAGTAAGTCACGGACGCGAGGCACTGGCTTGGCTGGCAGGGCGGTCGGACCCGCTCGGAGCCCAGGTAGAAACTAGTGACGGGAGGGGCGCGGAGCCTGCGGACTGTCAGCCCGAGCCGCTCTCGGTGCCGCCGAAGGGGGAAGCCCTGGATCAGGGACTGGAGGCGGCGGGGGATGGGGTGGCGCTGCAGCTGGGGGACTTTTCTGTCTGGAAGCTAAAAGGGCTTTTGAATTTAAAAAAAAAAAAAAATGCCTTGCTTGGGTTGTGGCGTCAGCTATTAATGACGACAGAAATAGTGCTTTCCGAGAATTTTCTTTTTTAAAGAAAAGGAAAAGAAGACAAGGAAGAAAAAGAAAAGGGAAGAAAGAAAAGCTTAGACAATAGGTTCTCACCTCCATCCATCCCACTAAGGGGAAATGTTACAGAAACCAGAAACTTGTACTGGGGGCGGGGGGGAGGTAGAAGGGGGACGGTTCACAGAGAAAACCTTCAGTACCGGTTAGAGATCACTGATACATGGAGATCTGGCGTTTAATGAATATCAATCGCTTGTCAATGCGTGAAGTAAACGTAGATTTAAGTGTTTTTCGAAACAACCATACTTAACGGGGAGGTGATAACCCTGTCAGCTAAGCCCACATAAAAGCGTGCAGCAGTGACCATATTTATGTACATACTTACTGAAAATTGAGGGTGGGATGGGAAAGTGTGAGACTAAGGCAACTGAGGTCCCTGAATTTCAATTTATTAGAAGCAAAATAATCAGTGGTTTCTTCTGATAGCTCTCTTTCTATGAAAAGAACACTCATTCCATGTCCAATTCACTGTTTATCAGCTAACTCGAAAAATCAGAAATATGCTTCCAGATACTGAGCCTGAATTCACATGCAGTGTTCAAAATAATATGCTCATGAGTGATTTAGGGTGCTGTAAGAAAAAACAGGGTGTTTTGAAATTCACTGTCACTTCTTACGACACAGTACCGTGTTAGTGCTCAGGGTCCAGCTAAACCCATAAAAATATACTTTATCAAAGCCCTCCCCCCAGTCTTGCGGTTGCTTACAATGAGAAGAGCACACACTGACCTGAACAACCTTCTGAAGATCAGAGAAAGTAGGGAACTTTCCCAAATAATCTCAATAATCTCATTTGAGCTTGCTCTTAGATAAACATGAAATTTGACCTTTCAAATAGCACAAAAATCTATGCCAAGAGGGGTTAATGGGGGGTGAAGACAGTTAATATCCATATAACCTGTAATAAAATGAGAAAAGAAAGTTTTAAAAAGAATATAAAATCCACTGGGGTAATTCATTACATGGACTATATCTTTGTAGTTCAATCGCAACCAGCATACTAATTAATAAACGCTGTCAGATCTTTCAGTTCTGGAAGTAACAAAAATGCAAAAATGAGACACGACAAATAATTCTCCTTAAAAATACCACTAATTATAGATAGTGTATAAAGAGAATAACTTACCAGAGGAAATTTCAGGAAGCAAGATGACCGTGAGAAAAATACATCCAAGATTCAAACAGATATTCCATGGTCTTCAAAATCAAGGTAAAGTAATGATCTGCAGGGTAGCAGGACTTTGAAATAATCAGCAGTTCCTGGTGGCATGCAACCAAGTGAAAACCAGTGCCACAGGGAGCTGGCAACTCCAAGGAAAAGAAGCAAATTAGGAAAGAGGCGCTGGGGGGGGGGTTTGTGGCGAGGGGGCTTATTTGTGGTGGTCCTTAGGCAAAGTGGAGATTTACAGACTGTTTATCCCCACACAGTGAGGAACAGGAGGTGGAACACAGATAAATCTGCAAGGAGAAGTAGAACGATGTGTCGGAGACACCGAGATAAAGAGAGAACTAGATAGCAAGGCTGTAGTCATCCTGAGAGATATAGAGGCAAGAATGAGTGAGGCTTCTGGGGAGGATCCAATGAGAATTCAAGAGGCACCCCTGCGAAGATCCTGCTCTGATTTCCTATTCTCAGCTCTTTAAGAGGTACCTGCTCTGGGAACATTATTACTAGGATTAATAGTGTTCCACCAGAACATGTCACTAGGATTTCCCTTGAACTCCTTCACTCGCCGCAACTGAGGGAGGTGTAGTAAAGAAACCCAACACCACCAGCACCCCCAAAATCCACTACCACAGATCACATTAGGATGTCCAAGTCCTCAGCGAGGTCCACTGGCGGGGAGAGGGTGGTGGGGCGTGGGAGAGTCTAAGGGTGAGGATGAGGCCGCGTCGCCGGCCGCTTTGGGGGCGCTGTGCTTGGGGGCTCAGGCAGGAGCCCGGAGCCCGGCGGGAGGCACTGGCGGCTGCTGCGGAGGCCTTCGCAGGTCTCACGTCCTTTGCGAATCCGGCTGCCTGGGGCTCAAGGCAACAGACTTGCTTTAAGCAAGGTAGCTACAGCTTTGGGGGCTCTAAGCATCCCCCGGAGCGAGTGCAGGCTTGAGGCATCCAACTCCCCTCTGATTTCTGCACAGTTACAGAGGGAGTGTGTGCTAGAAAGGGCTTTGCTGCCCCGCGCATTATCTTGCCATTTTCCCGTCCGGATGCTGCATAAACGATCACCTGATCAATTGGTAAGATTAGCTTTATTCCTGCTCCCTTTTCCTCTCAGTGGACCCATTCCCTCTCCAAGACCAAGTTCTCTCTTTCCCTCCCTCCCTCGCTCCCTCGTCCCCTTTCTGCTCTCTTCTTTATTTTTCTCTTTGAAACCTACTTTCCCTGGGGAACCGTCTGTTTGACTGAGAGGCTGGTAATTCTGTTTGTACATGATTTATTTTTTGGCCGAGGAATGAGTCCGCCTCCCCGCACGGAGTCTCTCCTTAGAGAAGATTCTCCGCCCTCAGCCCTTGGGATCGCTCGCCGAGCTCGCCTCCGTGTAAAGAGCGCGGAGGGAGTCTCCTGCCCTCTGCTCGGGCTCTGACTCTCCGTCTGTCTGTCCCTCCCCTCCCTCCCTCCCTCCCTGAAGTAGGAGAGAAAGGTAGAGTGGAAATTGATTTTTTGCAGACTGAGTCGCCGAATGATAGAAGGAATAAACATTTGCCCTGGATAAAAATGTTCTTGGTGAGTAATCTTATTTTCTGCGGTTGAAAAGGAAACACATTGCTTCTCACTGCCCCATCCCCCGCTCCATTCATTTATTTGCTCTCTGTATGTAAATCACGAGCTGTGTCAGTGGAAATGTTCTTTTTCTCCTTCCTAAAAGAGTAGTAGTATTTAAGTGTGAATTTGAAACAGGGGGGTTTAAGCAGGCAATGTGAGCATTTTAAGGTCCTTCATTAACCTGCGCTGAAAACCAAAAAACATACCAAGTCCACCCTTGCTTGGTTTCTAATGGTATTTAAGGACCCTCTTTATTTCCTAACTCTCTTTCCTTCTTGAAAATAAAGAAAATAGTTTTAAGTAGTGGCCCAAGGTTTGATGCTTATGCTTTTGGTTTACGTCAGCCATGCTCTTAAATATAATATCCTTTCAATTATAGACATTGGGAATGGTTATTTTTTCACATAAATTGAAACTATAGAAATCTTCCATTAAATGTACCCACTGGTTCCAATTCTTGTATCAGATACAAATCAGCAGTGTCCCAAATTGGCTCTTTGCCTGGCGTTTCCTAAAGCCCTCCGGTTTTCCATGAGTCTACAGCACCCCCAGCCTGTACTGCTCATAGTGGGAAGGCTGGGTAGGTATAGGAGTGGAAAGAAGCCAAAGGGCCCTCAGCTGTGCTTGTTCCACATGTCACTAAGTGTGGAGAATGACAAATCTCACAAACTGTGTGAATTTGGTTTTCCAATGTAAGTTGATCATTTGAAATGTTTTTATTTAATATTTTTTTAAATGTACAGAAGACAAGCTCCATAAGAAATCATTACAATTTTGAATTATTAAATATATTACTAGTAAAATACTTATATTAACATTTTTCCTCTATTGTCACTCCTACTTTAACCCCTTGTCCTCCAATTTTTCTAATTAGGGACAGCTAATTGCTGCAAAATTTTATTCCTGATGCAAGGATGACCTGAAATTCATCAAAAGTATATGATTTTAAAATTCTATTGGAAATGTTTGTCATTTTTGATAATCAGTATTAGAGAAATTATCATTATACAACCTCCAAAAGAAAGACAGCTAAATAGCACATTATAATGACAAAGCAAATTATGCATGTGCTCAAAGGTCTACAGTTTTTACTACTATGAAATTTGTCAAGGGAAAAATTTCAGTAAGAACATGTTGACATGTAGGTAAAACTTTTTTCTTTTCTTTCTTTCTTCAGACTTTATTCGAGCCATAATGATGTCCTAGAGAAAAAATTTTTCTTCAGCTGTCTCATTTTATCAAGAGAATGGTGACTTCTCTGTGTCTCTGTGTTTTACAGGGGCTGACAAATGCTAAGAAGATCTGAAATCGACTTGAAGATCCCTATACTGAAGTACATTCATTACAAATATGATTTTAGCAATTGTAATACATAGGCAGCATACTTTTCATTTAAGATCTGAATATGATGCCCAAGCTTACTTACCTCATTTGCTATTCAAAGAAATGCATTTAAGGAGTCAGGAAACTGGACTTCAAGTAGAAAAAATATGACATTAAAATTTTTATTTTATGCTGGGTATGGGGATGCATGCCTGTAATCTCAGCATTTAGGAGGCTGAGGCAGAAAGATTGCCATTAGTTCCAGGCCAACCTGGACTATGTAATGACACCCTGTCTCAAAAAACAACAACAACAACAACAACAAAAAAAACCAATTTATATGTGAAACAAATTTAAGGTTGTTGTTCTACAGTATTTGAAAAAAAGACAATTTGACCCATAATTCCTAACTCTTAATGTAATTTGTAGTATTTAAAAGTTACATTAAACTGGGATTAATGCCTGTAATCCCAGCTGAGGTAGGAGAATTGCTGAGTTCAAGGCAAGCCTGGACTACACAGCAAAACCCTGTCTCAAAAAGCCAAAATAAATAAATAAATGTTACATTTAATAATTTAAGTATTGGAGCATTGTGTTAAATTGTACATTCAGTCAGCAAAGAAAGTCACAGACTTTATATCTTCTAGCTGGATTTTGTTTTTAGAACAATGTATTTCTAACCTATTAACTCACTGAAATATCGAATCCAAAAGTAACATTCACAACATATTAAATTGGGGGGGGGGTCTGTTCTCAGTAGTAGAGTTTGTGCCTACCAAGAGAGAATCTCTAGGTTTGATCCCCTGCAGACACACACACACACACACACACACACACACAGACACACACACAGGGGTTATATATTCTACTGCAAAGATTGTGAAGCAATTTTCTTGTGAAGCAAAATGTCAATGTGCTTCAGATTATTTTTAGTCTTTAATTTATAACAAAAATGAGTTTAAGTAAGATGAATAACTTTGGATTGCTTCTGCACACATTGTACATGACACGTTTATATATATAATTTTGATAATTAAGTTATTGAAATTTATTTATTTTATGCTCTTTGCTATGAGTTTATTTTGTTTTTAACATTTTCTTCTTGTAGAGGTCAGAAGTTTCTTAAGTACCTTTTTGTGTAGGCATTTTCACATTTTATTATATAAGATCAATATGCTACTAAATAAACATCGGCAATGTATTCCAATCTGAAGAAAATTATGTTGAACTTGAGAGAACTTTAAGGATCATTTAATTTGATCCCTCTCAAAGGTGAAGAAGTTGAGAATTGGAGAAATTCGATTAGTGTAATCAAGTACCGAGTAGTAACCTAAGGAGATTAAATATAGTTTTCCTAACTTCATAATGTTCAATCTGAATCAGTTAAATTCTAATATTAGTTGCTAACACAACCATAATACTTACATAAGGAATATATAAAAGGAAGAAAGTAGTAAAAAGATTTATAAATTACAGCCATCCTTCTTAGAGTATATTTCTTTCTTTTTTTCTTTTTTGGTACTGGGAATCAAACTCAGGACCTTGTGCTTGCGATACAGGTGGTGGAACCACTGAGCTAAATCCCCGGCCTAGAGTATATTTCTTTGATAATTAATATCCTCCACTATAGAAAGTTATTTTTCTGTTATATTTTATCCCCTGAAGCCATGCACAAGATTGAGGAAGGATCTTAGTTACTTTCTTATAGATGAGACACAATACCCAACACATACACAATACAAAGGATGGAAGGATTATTTTGGCTCGCAGTTTGTAGAGGTTTCAGTCCATAGTTGGCTGACTCAAAAGCAGAGTGGATAGCAGAAGGGCATAGCCTAGGAGAAATAGATCATGCCATGAAGACAGGAAACAGCCCCATCATATATCCTTCCTGGCCACACCCACAATGACCCACCAAGTCACATGCACCCATGATCCAGTCACTTCCCCAAAGCCCCACCTATGAGTGCATGAGGCTTTGGTGGGACATCTATATATAGGTCAGAGAGGAACATTTCACAACCTAATACTAACTTCTCAGGGAATATTCTCTGTTCCTTTGTCTATGCATTGTGTTCCCTAGACTATTTTTTCCTGTACAGTGTAAACTGGGTAATTCCATCCTCCTGTAATATGATAGTCCATCATATCACCTTTCTTTTCTACTTCTTAAATATCTTACCAATATACTAAATAGGATTATTCCACTAAGAAAGTAATCATCTCATGATCATACATTTAACTAATAAACAACGGATGCATTTCTGAAACTACACACTCATCATGAAAGATATAAAGAGACTAAGAACATTTTGTGATAAAAGTAATTCTGCAATATGAAGCAGAGTGTTTGTGGTCATTTTAAAAAATCCTTTCAAAGTAGGAGGAAATTCTTCAGCTGTTAAACATTATTCAGTTTCCCGGAGTGGCTGAACCTCAATCAGTTTTCATCATTCCTTCACATATATCAAAGTTTGAATATTATGTGCAAGCTTTTAATTTTTTGTAAACTGAAAACTTAAAGGCAAATGTCAACACTGAATTCATTTAGCAATTATCATTCCTCAATTAAACAGGACTAGAGGAATTAAATGTAAAGATTTGTTTACACAGAAAATGGACAAGAACTAAGAAGGGGGAAACTAAATGGATCACTAGTTTCCAGCAATAAACTACTGGAAATGAGTTAAAAATATAATATTGTAAAACTTTATTTATGTTGAATATACAACTTAGCACACAGCCTTACTATTTAGGAATAAAACTGCCAATGTAGGAACAAAAATGTTAATGTGGGTCTGAGAAAATGCATAATGTTCAATAAACTTAACAACTAGGTGAAAAGTACTAACCTTAGTGTAAAGAAAAGGTACTAAGCACAAAAAGAAAAAGTATAGAAGCTGATGCCAATTAGCAAAATATTAAAAGAAATTTGAGATTTAAAATTGACACTACAGAGAATGATTGACAGGAAGTGGGAGGATTTTATTTCCATGGAGAAATTGATCTGAAGCAATTTGTTTTTCTTTTTCTCCTTAGATTTTGTATAATGTTGTAATCAAGAAAAAGGAGCTGAATATTTACTTAATTAGGATAAATCATTAATTTTTGTGTCTCATGAACTCTGAAAGCCTTTCACCTCTTTAATGAAAGGAGAGAGAAACTAAACTACTTGATTCCTGATTCTCCTGGTTTCTTAAATCTCTCTAATCCATGCATTTCTATTCAGGAGAAATACATACCTTGTAGTAGGATGAAAAATAATCCTTCATATTGATCATGGAATTTAGATCTGAGAAGAAAATATGAATTCATAGACAAAAGTAATGTTAAAAGACTACCTAAAATGAATGCACTTTATATTTATGGAAAGATACCAATTCTAAGTCAATTCAACAAATATTTATTGAGCATTTATACAACAATCATTTGTTGATGGTATTTTATGCAAGAAGCATGATTTTAAATGTTATAAGGATATAAAAATAAGTTATAATATTCATGTCCTGTTTGGAACAGAGGGGACTGTATTGATAAGTATATTTTTTTATTCTGTAGCAAATTTCATTCCCATCATCAATCGTTCTTTTATTAGAAAGAAAACCATTTTATTGATTCCCATCTATGGGCCAAGAACTTCCTAAAATAATGTGCTAAGACAATCAAGGGTAAGGATTGGAATATCTTACAAAAATTAACACAATCAGATGTTAACTTACATCTTCTGTAAATGTGTAAGTTCGCTAACCTATAGGTTGAGTTTTTTAGAAGAGAAATTTGCTTAGAGTTTAAGTGGTACCAGATGAGGGAGAATGAATGTTTTAGTCCATATAAGTTAATGGTGTAATTAACAGCTTTAAAGTTCATTTCTTGTAAAGAAAATTTAATTTTGTGCTCAAGCACAGTTCAGTTAAGTTTGCAGAATTGCTAAGCATAGTTCCTCGTTCAATTGATCAGCCAAAGTTTGGGTTTGAATTATGTGGTCTATGTCACATGTCTCTATTGCACTACAATGGAAACAAAAGATCAAAATAAATTTGAGGCTCAAGTTTTCTAAATGTGTATAGAAAAGGTGTAGAGAAGCCACAATGCATTGCAAATACGTGAGGATTGTATACATTTTGCAGTTACAGTGTTCACAGGGGAAAATCAGGCAAAGAAATCAGTTTCTAAGATTAAGTCTAATCAACAGTTTAGTATAAATTTCATGTTTTGCTTTTTTGGTTTCTGTGTTTGTTGTTTTGGTTTTTGTTTGTTTGATTTTTATAATGTTGGGTGATTTGCTCATAGAAGACAAGCAACCTACCCCTTAATTATATCCCCAGGCCCCATTGTAAATTTCTTATAGAAGTATAGAATATTTTTAGTTAACACTGACATGCAAATCTATTTTAAACAGTTTTGAATTATAATCATATTTTTTCTCCCTCAAAACTTTTCAGCTGCCCTTCAACTTTCAAAACCAAGTATTCCTGTAAGAAAAATCTATAATCATTGTCCACTCTAGTCACTTTTATAAATTCTAGTTGAGTCTTAGAAAGAACTGTAGTTCAATTATTATAACTGTTTATGCTCTTATCTACACTATTATATGTTAATAAAATAAGACATATATTTAAACACTTGAGATTATTAGAAGAAAAATCCATTCTATCTAATTTGTAAGAGGAAATAGTGTTAAACATTTGTAAATCAAATAATTAATTTTCTCAAAACTGAATGTCCATTAATATTGTTTAAAATAGTATGCTTTATTTACACATATATGATTTGGTCTCTTTGGGTAGTTTGCCATTCTTATATTCAAAAATTCCTAAACACACTTGTAAGACACAATGCATTTTAAAATAAATATTTTTAAATAAAGACAATATTAGCAGCCTCAAACATCTCATAGGTAAGTAAAACAATGTATTTCAGGTTTAATTATATTTTGTTTACATACAATGTAGGAAAACACAATATAATCAATTAAAAACAAAAAGATACTGGAAATCTAAAAGAAAAATTTGGGTCACAGACAAAACAATCAAATATTTCCAGTAAAATAAAATTTCTTTTAGCACTTATTTCTAAATTCTTCAGATAAGTCATTAGATTGCCTTGAGAGGCCCATGAAAAAAATTCTTATTTGCTCAAAAAAAAATACAGTATTTATTGTTGAGTTTCACTCATCAATAGATGTTTTAAAAGCACAATTTTCTAAAGTAAGTGTTAAGAAAAATGTATAACCTTCCAAAATTCAAAATGTATCTATTTATAAATTAATACATGTGTAATAAAAGAGAATGTGAACCATTAAGATATACATAATGCTGCGTGTACCATATATGAATATTAACAAGTTACAATACATTTGAATGATTTCATCATTGATATGATATTTATATAAACAAATTCCCCCTCAGTATTCTCACAAAAGTCCTGTTTATTATATACATTGTTCATTCACTTATAGCAGTGAATAGATATTGTTGCATTAAAATTTAGAAAATACATTTATTACCACAATGCTTTGCTTAATACAAGTCATATTTATTCATTCACATTCATAAAAATGTCTTCAAACATTGTTATGG